TGGCTAGGCAGTACAATCTGCTGCACTGATTTGCAGTAGAGTGCAGTATGGTGCAGTTATACTTGTACTTCAACAAGAACAACTAATCAAGGGTTTAAAAACATTCCCCACCATCCACCCTCCAAAGTCACCCTTTATATACAATTTACTCTTGTGGCTAAGTATATGTTGCAAAATTTGCATAATGTAAGTTTCTTACAAAGTTCGATAATCAAATTATGCCCCTTTGAACACTCAAGCACTTACAATGAGATGCATTGCAGCACTGCACTGATATCTTTATTTAAGAGATCCTGTCTGACCCTATTTTTTGTTTTTTAAAGAAAATAAATACTAAAAACGTTTTTGTTGTTTTTTTGATTGACATAACATTGTAGTGCAGTGCAATATAAGTATAGGTAAATTCTCATTCACATAAGAAGCATTAATATGCTTGCAAATAAAAATAAAATTACTCACCAGTCAAAGAGGAGTATTCATTTCTTCAGAATGTTTTTCGCTTACCCAAATTAATCGTTCGATAACAAATTATCAGTTCGTAACTTTGTCGAAAGAGTCCTCCGACATAAATGCTGGAGACTGTTAGTTGAGATTTGTATGAAAGAGAACAGTCATATATTTATTAAACCAGAAGTCTCTGTCGAGACTGAAGCTCTACTGGTTTGTACTTTTAATTAATGAAGAGATAAATGGCAGTTGGAACTTGAAACTTTACATCAGCAATAAATAGAAAAATGATGCTTGATTGAGCTCTTTTTGTGACAAAACTACAGCTGTAGGGGTAGCTTTTAATACACTTTTACAGTATTTTCAATTTAAGTAACCATTGCAACACCCGTCATTAAAATCAAAAACCTATAAACAGAATAATGTATCTTAGTGTAGTCTACTTGTGTGCCAAGTTATATTGAAACCAGACCAAAACTATAGGAGGAGTAGCATTTTGAAAGTATTTCACAGGCACTGTAAATCGTTGCAGTTACTTTCAAATGATGCCAAGGTCAATGACCTTGTGACTTTGACTGTGACCTATATACTAAAAATAGCTTTTTATTTCCTCTGCCATAACCTTTGAATCATAAGCGATAGAGACTGCATATTTTGTATGCAAACTCCATTAAGTTCTTTCAAACTGCAACAAGGTCAATGACCGTGAACTTGACTGTGACCTAGATGCTAGAAACAGCCTTTTTGAACCTTCGGTATAATGTTTTAACCATAAGAAATAAAGACTTCAAATCCAGTATATTCTACTCCACTAATTAGGTTTTATCAAATGACACCAGGGTCAATGACCTTGTGACTTTGACTGTGACTTATATGAAAAAAATATCTTTTTTCAATTTTTTTTTTGCCGCATAGTGTTTCATAAACACATATTATTTTAAATGTTACATGTCGTTGCTTTCAACTACATGTAATAATGTGAAGAAAAACAGTTACCTAAATCATAGGCACCTGACGTTACTTCTTGTTCCCCGCTTTTGCAAAAGAGAGGGGACGTTATATCTCATTCGTCTGCCCGTCTGTCAGTCTGCAGTGTGCCCGTCCATCACAAAAATTTTAACCTTGGTCATATCTTTTAAATGAGAATAGATAGGACTTCATATTACACATGTATATTACCTGTGGCAAGACCTTCTGTAATACACTAAGATTATTGACCTCGTGACTTTGACCTTGAAAAAAATTTGACCTGAGGTGATCAGTGGAAGGTCTTGTCACAAAGAATAAATACGTGAAGTAGGGTTGTCCTAGCTTCAACTGTTCAAAATTTATGGCCAAAGTAAAAGTTTAAAATTTTGGTGTGAAAGTGTGTCAAACTCCAAGGTTAAGGTCAAGAGGTCAAATTTGGTGGTACCCAAAGAAAGGTCTTGTCACAAGAAATACATCTGTGCAAAATGAAACCCATAGTCCCGCCCAGTCAAAAGTTAGGGACGGTATTTGCGGACAGACAAACAAACAAACAAACAGACAGACGGATGGACGGGGCAAAAACTACATACCCCAAAAACTTCGTTTTCGGGGGCATTTAAATTATACCCCCTACCTAATAATAAACTAGGTAGGGGTTATTTTGTCCCCCGCTTTTGCAAAAGCGAGGGGACATTAAATCTCATTCTTCTGTCCGTCTGTTGGTCTGTACGTCCATCACAAAAACTTTAACCTTGGTCTTATCTTTTGAATGTGAAGAGATTGGGTTTTTATATTAGAGATGCCATTATGTATTAGGTGTGACAACATCAATATGATTTTTATGACTATAACTTATGAATGAGAAGAGACAAGAGTTTCATATTAAAGTGTATTACCTGTGACAAGTCCTTCCTTGTGACCTTGACCTTGAAGTTTGACCTACTTTTTAAAATCTTTAACCTTGGTCATATCTTTTGAATGAGAAGAGATATGACTTTCATATTACACATGTATATTACCTGTGACAAGGCCTTTCTAAATACCCATGACTTTTGATAGTGTGACCTTGACATTGAAGTTTGACATACTTTTCAAAATTGATAATTTTTTTTTTCATTACCTGTGACAAGATATTTCCGAGCATGCTATGATTTCTGAACCCGTCACCTTGACCTTGATGATTGACCTTACTTTAAAAAATTCAACTTCGGTGATAATTTCTATATGACATATGATAGTACGTTCATATTTGACACAATATGTCATAAATATGACACCCCACCCACAAAGACACCGAAAGCAGGGGACCAGTTTTTTTTTTTTAATTTGCTTGTACATTTATTACAGGTCTCATCGACTCTCAGATTCATTGTTTCGTTTCCTATTGCATAACATATTTAAAAAACAAAAACAAAAAAACAAAAAACACAAAACAAAAAAAAAACAAAAAAACAAAAAAAACGGAAGGGGCCCTCCCGTTTCCCATGGATCCCACAGGCATGATAAAACAATTGTTTGATTTGTATACAGTGGGGTTTTTTTTCACATTATAAATTTTGCAAAGAAATTGTGTCTTATAAGTAAAACTCAGCTTTTTAAATCTATATAGATTAGTGTTTTGACTTCATTTTTGTATTAGGTGAATAAATAAGAGGTCTCTTCACTCTTCCTCTGATATACGTAATCAAATAACGAAAACAATTTGTTTTTGTATGTTCTGTAAACGATCGAAAATAGCATGAAAATCACTATGTACATCATAATGAAATATTTTCACGTTTTTTTTTATTATTCGTCGTTGGGCCCTATCGTGTCCAAAATAATTCATACCTGCTTTCATCGTCCAATGCCAATTTTGACTATTAACGGCGAGTGCGATCGGTGGGTCGACAGAGAAAGCTTACTCATTTTAGGCACCTGATCCTGGGGTCGGTCGTGTTTTTGCATTATGTTCGATACATTTTTTTGACTGTTTTTTTAAGAGTGGCCATACACTGTTCAATACCTTATATTCAATTCTTACATATAAGAATGACATTTCTTTCCATTGAGAAGTTACACTGTGCTTGAGGGCAACTTCAGCGATGGGCGTTTTTCGGCAATTATAACACAATCGGCCATAAGTCTATAATTTCTTAGAGAAATAATGTAAATCTCTTCTCTTATTTAAACAAATCTATATAAAACGAAAACAACTTATTGCATGTATTAGTATTAGCGCAACTGTGAAAAGGGAGAAGGGTGATGTGTACAACTTTATTCATTTACTTGAATCAGTTACCGTTACACATATTGTAAATGATGTTTATTTTTCTTTGAAAAAAAGGTGAGAAAAAAAATTCAGATTCTAATTGGTGGGAAAGAAGTAATTCAAAATGACAATCGAATTTGCGAAATGCCAGTTAATATTCATCGATGTATTGTATAACCTTGTTACATCACATATTTTGTCAGTAGCCTGCATCAGTCATCAAATCGATGTGTTCAGAACAAGAACTACAGTATCAAATGTACATGTAAGTGACAGAGAAATATTAATTTACTCCAAGTTCATAAATAGGGGACATTTAATGATTGTTTCATTGGTTACTAACTGTCCATATATCAAACTAAAAATCCAAGTAAGAGTCTAATATGGCGGACTCAAATATTCTCCAACAATATTCAATGATTAATCTAAATTCAGCTAAGTGAGCTCTTTTCCAATGCTTAATATATAAGTAAATTTATCACATCATATTTATAAGTCGATGAAAAACGGTTTATTTCCTTCATATAAAGTCACTATGACAAGAATGAAAATTATTGCTTAATATATTTTGTTTCCATAAAGGAACTGTCCATTCTCATTAAAATTAGCTATTTCTTTTCATTTTCAATTATACTGAAAAATTGCCTTAATTACCATTAAATATAATAACATGTTGGGGCTTACTTTAATTACTCTGCAGGTTCCTTTAAATGGCACTACTAATTAACTAATTGAACAATGTTCAGAGAAATAATTTCACTTTGTACTTAGATTGATATTGGCTCAATGGTACTGAAGAAGTTGGAAATGAGAAAATTTGACAAACAACAATTGAAGATCAGCAAACTTTGAAAAAAAACTTATTGACTTCACGGAGATTAAGATAAAAATATGATTTAAAAACTCTGAATCATAAATATTTATTCATTTATCACAGTTGCATCATAAAATATAATCATGCAAAATAACACAGTGGATGGATAATACATAAAAATAGATTTCTTAAAGAATGTCATATTTTACAAGTTACTGGAGTATAGATACTTCATTACTGTAGAGTTTGAATAATAATACTTTACAACAGTATAGATTGAATAATAATACCTTACAATTGTAGAGACTGAATAAAAATAATTCACAATAGTAGAGACAGAATACAGATACTAGACAACTGAGAGATAGAATAGAGACGTTTCACAACTGTAGAGTGTAGAGATAAAAGGCCTGTTGAATGTTAATAAATACTTATTCTTAATAAAATCAGGAATTTGCTTCTAAATTGGGCTTCAATTGTATTTCCATAAATATTAAAAGATTTATCTAATACATAACCATAATTATAGGCATCACATTTCAAATCACTGTCAACAGAAATTAAACTCAGTATATTAATCATGTACATGTATAAAGCAAAACTTAACAAAGGTATAGAAATAAATGTATTAATTAAGTTAACAATTCCTGATAAAATTGTAAATATAACATAAATTCATACACCCTGACATGATATTAAGTATGGTATAAATAAACACTGTACACATATATACATCCTGACATACATGTATAAATACAAAATCACAATATTGTTCATCCGTTTTCAGCCTTTCAGATGGAAGTCCTTACAAAAATTCACAGAGAAAAATGTGAAAGAGTTCATTATATAAGCATCTAAACTAAATATCCTTCTTTTGTAATGATACAAAATTGAGCATCTCATTGATTGCATAAAACCGATGATGTCATAATGCATTAATTTAACAAATGTGACAAAAAAAGTGTCCAAGTGATTAACAAATGAAATTATGACACAACTGGACATAAATATTAGGGGTGTAACAATGTACTCAAAAAGGCAATACAAAAATGTTTTGTATACAAAAACTATATATGCCTTGACAAAACTGTAAACCTATGTACCATAATTTGTTTTCATTTAAAGCAATTTATGCTATTTCTTTTTCATGTACTGTAACTAAATAAAAGTGATTTCATCTGTTCAGAACTTATTAACTGTTCCATACTGCATTTGAGAACAGACAACAAAAAAATCTTCACATTTTATCTTTTCACACTATGACAGAGAATTTTTCATTTATGGACAGAGACACATAACTTAATAAATTACGAAAAGTGAAATATTTCAATACATAGGTATCATGATATATACCATCACACACTTTATCTTATCGTTACACCCCTAATGAATATTACATTGATTGAACACATAGGCACATGTTGCAGCACAAGTTACACATCAATGACTCGTCTGTCCTTAGGAAAACTAACTTGTTTGACCCCGGCCAGGTGTAGCAGGTCATTTATAGGAGTTTGATCTGTGGTACATTCACAAAGATGCATAAAGTGGACTTCATCTCCTGAAAATTAGGTAAAAATCAGCAGTGGTCAAAAGTCAAAAATTTTATCTCATATATTTATACTGAATAACTTCTCATGGCATCTTGAAAATTTGGCATTGCATCAACCGCAATTTTTTTTCAAGAAATACATAGAAATTTCATTTTTTCTTTAAACGTACCTGGTCCTAGGATATACTCTGCCCCTTGTTGTCGGACATCCCCCTGATATTCCTGGCTTTGCATGGCCCTCCATGTACTGCTTAGAATTCCTGATATCATGTTATGCTTGAGGTGTTTATTATCTGAAAAGAATATCTTATGACAGTAAGGTTTCACATGAAGTTGGTGATCTACAGTTTATAAAGGTAGCACAGTGAGGAAACTTGTAAAATCATAGCAATCCATTTCCTCATTAGATGTAAACTGATCATGAGATTATTTTGTGAAAATTTCAAAAGACTTCAGTTCTGGAGATACCTTACATACATGTAGCAAAAACGATTACATTAGTTTTCATATTTTGCAAGCATAAAAGCATTGGACGTTGTTCTTACTTTTAGTATTCTTTCCATATTCTGGGTTGCTCTTCATTCCCAATAATTTATAAAGTTCTCTGTCTGGATCTGTGTACATGGTATACATAAACCCCGTCTCTTTCTTGAAGGCCTGAAAAAAGGTACATGAGAACTTATACAAACATTCTCTAAAACTGATCAATTTCATTACATTCTAAAAATCATTTTCTTTAGATATGTACTCCAAAATCTTGATTTTAACTGTAACTCAGTAGAAAAGACCCTTTTTCAGACTTGTCGAAATCCGTCGGTCCTGTCAGCAAAGCTGGTAAAAATTTGTCTGGACTGATAACTTTTAAGAAAATGTCAGTCCAGATGACCGTTTAAAAAAAAATCTAGCGTGATGCAAATTTAATAAAGGTTGGGATAGGGATGCGTAGCTGGTCACAAACACAGAAAAAATGGCCGTGTACGCAGTGTGTTGATGATAGTAAATAAAATTTGTTTTAGCAAAGTCATAAAACATGTCATTTATGTCTATTGTTAAAGACTCTCAATCTCAAGGAAGGAAACTTGTAAGATTGAAGGCTGTTGAAAACAATAAAGGGCATTTAAATGCCATTATTCATATGACTTTCTCAGCGTCACAATTTTTGAATAAGGTATATGATGAACCCCGTCTGAAAAAAACTTTGACTGGTCCGACAGAACATTCGACTTTGTCAGACCAAATGTCTGACAGTGATTGAAAAATGTTGACAAGTCTGCAATTTCTTTAGATGGCAGTTTATGCATGTGTGTGTTTGTATGTGTATGTTGGTCTGTAGAATGGGTGAATAGGTGAGCTATTAACAAAGTTAAATATCTGTATCTCAAACACTGATACCTCAAAATTCATGAATATTCAAAGAGGTATGATTTTTTGAATAAAAATTTTTTTTTTCATTATTACATACCAAACAATGGCAAAGATATAGCAAACACTTACACTTATAAACTTGTCAGGAGCAGGACCAATCACAACTACTCTCACACCAGCTTCCTATAAAAATGTATTTGTATATCAATGATACATGTATATGTTACCAAAAAAGAAAAAAAGGATTCGTCATCTAAATTATTGTCATAATATTATCATATTAAGGAGTATAAGAATGATGTATTGTATTTTCATTAGAAATTTTGCATTACAAAAAAAATCATCAAAATATACCTGTAGATATTCTAATGGAACCTTGGCTAAATCTGAAAGAAAATAATAGGTATAATAAAAGATACATAATTGATCCACTAAAAATGTTTCGAATATATGGGATCATTACCAAAATCTTATCAATGCTTATATACATCAATTTGAAAGCTGTTCTTCCACATGTTTTATTTATCTCCATAGTTGCTTACCTTCAATGTAGTCTTTGCACACAAAGCACAGGAAATGCTGCAATGAAATAACAGAATGATTAACAATGATGAATAGGAGAACACATTTTTAAGATATCACTTTCCTGATCCGATTTTCAAACTTGAAAATCCACCCTAAAAGTAAATAGATGATTATAATATGCAGGCAATGAAACATAACTCACCCTTGTGAAAATAACTATCGTTTTCTGGTGTTTGTAGATATCACCAAACTTTATTTTGTTGCCTCCTTCATCCAAGACAAACTTTTCTTTCGCTTTTGTAAAGTTGAATTTGAAGTCACATGGTTCTGGTTTTTCTCCTCTTGACATTTGTAAATTATCTATTTCTTCTGTAACCTGAGTTTCTTCATTTTCCTCCACCTTCGACATTTTGTCAAGCCTAACGTGTTTCGTCTAGTTCAGCAATCAAACTTGCAATGTTTGCTGTCGATACCAAATCAATGTCATGAAAACGCTGGAACAGACAAGTATGATTAAAGCCCATATTAAGCGTTTTATGGAACCATCATTAGAGTAACATTCAAACAAAAACGTATCTATATCCGGAATTCTAAGCTTTAATTTCTAAGTTTTAATTTTTAATTAAAACAAAGGCCTAGAATATCGACATCAAATTATTTCAAGGTATTCAATTGATGTTTAACGACGATACTTTGTACCTAAATAAATTTGGTCCGAAATGATTAATTAATGGTAGCATGTTGAAGGTGATATGAAATTATAGGCCTACCGGCTCCTCCATAGGAATTTACAAAATTTTATGGGTTTGTAAATTCCTATAAAAAAGAATTGTCAGATGAGTCAAAATATCGATGCTATACTCTCGATTATAAGTTTTGAATAATTTCCTTCAGTGTTTTGGACATGTCATATCCAAGTATCTCAATTCACGCACCTACCGATTTTCTGTATAATATTAGGACTTATATAATTTAAAAAGCATTTTACACAAAAATATATTAAAAGTTTTACTTCATCCATAAGTTATTAAAACTTCAAATTTTTATACGGGTTTGATTGACACATCCTTGCACTTTCACAAATTTTACCCCGTGGGGATCCGGGTTAGAATAGGTCCTCAGTACCCCCTTGCTTGTCGTAAAAGGCGACCAAATGGGGCGGTCCTTCGGATGAGACCGTATAAACCGAGGCCCCGTGTCACAGCAGGTGTGGCACGATAAAGATCCCTCCCTGCTCAAAGGCCGTAAGTGCCAAGCATAGGCCTAAATTTGCAGCCCTTCACCGGCAATGGTGACGTCTCCGTATCAGTGAAATATTCTGGAGAGGGACGTTAAACAGTATACAATCAATCAATCATCACAAATTTTAATTTTATTCTTAATACTTAGGAAAAGTGGCAATCTTGTTGTGTATAAATAAAAAATATTAAAACTATAATCCATAAAATTCAGAGTAGAAATGTTCGAAAACTTAAAGTAGAAATGTTCGAAAACTTAACATACATACAGTACATGTATATTGTCAGTCCATGCAGTTGTGGTGAGCAGACTTTCACAATTGAACGGTTAACCAGATCAACACTTTATTTTTCTTTAGTATAAAGAATAAAAGAAAAAGAAAAAAAAATAAATTGTTTTAAATGAAAATAAATCATGATACATAGGTTTACAGTTTTCTGATGTCACAGGTATATAGTTATACCCCCCGCTTGAAAAGTAGAAGGATATATAAAATACATAGTTACTGTCTTGAAATGTAAGCGATATTTGGGCGAGGGTAAGAAAACGTGAGAGAGGGCGAGGCTTGCCGAGCCCTCTTACGTTTTCGACCCGAGCCCAAATATCGCTTATATTTCAAGACAGTTATCATGTATTTTGTTTATCCTGTAACATATTCTGTACATTTGAACGTCCAAAACTCGCTATTTTCGACAGATTTAGGCACATCTCTGCAGTTGAAACTATAACACCATGGCGTAAACATTGCAATATACATGACGTCACAATGCTTTTAGAACGTCGGAATACATGCACGAGGCTTTATTAGGGCAGTGACCGGATAAAGCTTTGCTTTATTAGGTTACCTTTATTAGGTCAATGCAAGGGGTAGTTGCAGGATAAATATAGTAATCGGGATTTCCGCACGTCCGTCTGTACGTTCGTCCGTCCGTCTGTTACGCTTTATCTCTTATCCGCAACTCCTCTTATACTACTGAGTGAAATTTAATGAAACTTTCACAAAATCTTTATTACATATTGCCATTGTGCACCTCCGATTTTACTTTTTTTATTCGACTCATATTTTAAGGTTTCCCATAGCAAAACATAGACATAGCCATTATATGTTTACCTATGACGTCACATATAGAAGCTTCTGAATAACATTTGATAGGACGAGTTATTCCTCTTTACACATTACCGTAAAACAATATATAGCAACACATGGACATTATGGAAGGCGGGGGTATCATTTAGTGAGCTCATTGCTCACAATACCTCTAGTTTTGTTTAGTGATACAGTACCACTTTTTAAATTGACTTTTTCGAGTATATCGATCGTTACACCCCTAATATTTATGTCCAGTTGTGTCATAATTTCGTATCTTATAACTTGGACACTTTTTTTGTCATATTTGTTAAATAAATGCATTATGACATCATAATTTTTATGCAATCAATGTAATGCTCAATTTTGTATCATTATGAAAAATAAATATTTAGTGTAGATGCTTAATTTATGAACTCTTCCATATTTTTCTCTGTGAATTTTTGTAAGGATTTTCCACCTGAAAACGAAAGAACAATATTGTGATTTTGTATTTATACCTGTCATGTATGTCAGGAAGTTTATGTGTACAATGTTTATTTATACTATACATAATCATGTCAGGGTGTATGAATTTATGCAATATTTACATTTTCATCAGGAATTGTTAATTAATTGTTTAATACATGTATTTCTATACCTTTGTTAAGGTTTACTTATAATGTACATGATTAATATACTGAGCATATCATATTATAGAAAAAAATCGTTTAATTTCTGTTGACAGTGATTTGGGTTTATTCAAGCTATTCCCACTTTTTGAAAATCGGGTAGAAAAAGGTAAAACTTCTCGTGGGAGTAGGTGGAATTTTTGCGTAAACAAATAATTAGCTGAATAAACATTTCATTACTGTGAAAACAGTAATTAAATAATTATTAAACCACTGTGGGAGTAGAGGACAGGTATATTTGCTATTTTAAAATAAAAATTTTGCTTTTTACTTCTATTTCAATGAGAAATTAGACTTTTTCAAATAAGAATTGCAGATAAATTATTTATTTAAAAAAAGAGAATTTAAGAAGATTTTTAGTATATTTTTCTATTAAATTTTTTATTCATTTTAACTCCAGTTATTTATATGCATTTCCTTCATATATATGTATTTATTTTATTTTTAAATATTATATTTTTTTGGATAAATATATTTATTTCTGTCTTGTATAATGTACAAAATATTGGTAAAATACAGGTAAATCTAAGAGGGGATGTAATTAGTCTAATTACTGTAAAAACCAAAGAACTAATCCAAACATCTATTGTTATTTGCAAGCGGGAATAGATGGAATTGAGATTTTTAAAAAGTGGGAATAGCTAGAAGACACCGTGATTTGGAATGTGATACTTCTAATTATTTTTTTTTTTCGAAAGACTCCGAATTGACGTTATATTTTGAACATTTCATTATGCTGTTACTTATATAAGCATTTGAAAAAAGTATAATGCCAAGGTAAATCCATGGATAGTTATGTATTAGTTAAATTATTTTTAATATTTATTGAAATAAAAACTAGAGATACTGTGAGCAATGAGCTCACTAAATGATGACCCCCGCCTCCCATATGATTATATTGGAAAATTCCATGTTTTGTTGTGATCGGGAAACCCAAAATATGTGTTGGATCAAAAAGTAAAATAGAAGGTGCACAATGGCAATATGTAATAAAGATTCTGTGAAAGTTTCATTAAATTTCACTCAGTGGTATAATAGGAGTTTCGGATAGGAGAAGGGTACCCCAAAGCGTAACAGATGGACGGACGGACATACCGATTACTCTATACCCTCCCACTTTTCAAGCGGGGGTTATAATGACACCCAATTTAGGAGCAAACTTCTGGTTTTATTAAGCATGACTATTTAACATTCAACACCTCTTTTATCTCCACAGTTGTGAAAGAGATGTCAAGCATCTCTATTCTGTCTCTACAATTGTGAAGTATTATTATTCAATCTCTACAATTTTTAAGTATCTACATTCCAGTAATGATTTTAAAATATGACATTCTTTATTTATTATACCCCCCGCTTGAAAAGTGGGAGGGTATATAGTAATCGGTATTTCTGTCCGTCTGTCCGTCCGTCCGTCCGTCTGTTACGCTTTGGGGTACCCATCTCTTATCCGCAACTCCTCTCATACCACTGAAGGAAATTTAATGAAACTTTCACAGGTTCTTAATTACATATTGCCATTGTGCACCTCCTATTTTACTTTTTGATCTGACATATATTTTTGATTTTCAAAAGCAAAACATGGACACTGCCATTATATTCATATGGGAGGCGGGGGGTATCATTTAGTGAGCTCATTGCTCACAGTACCTCAAGTTTATATATATTATCCACCCACTGTTATTTTGCCTGAATTTATTTTACACTGCAAATGTGTTAAATGAATAAAAATTTATGATTCCGAGTGTGCTATTCATATTTTTATTTGAATGTCTGTGAAGTCAATAACTTTATTATACCCCCCGCTTGAATTATACCCCCCGCTTGAAAAGCGGGAGGGTATATAGTAATCGTTAATTCCGTCCGTCCGTCCGTCTGTCCGTCCGTCCGTCTGTACGTCCGTCCGTCCGTCTGTTACGCTTTGGGGTACCCATCTCTTATCCACAACTCCTCTCATACCACTGAATGAAATTTGATGAAACTTTCACAGAATCTGTATTACATATTGCCATTGTGCACCTCCTGTTTTACTTTTTGATCCGACACATATTTTGGGTTTCCCGGCCACAGGAAAACATAGACTTTTTCACCAGTTATAACCATATGGGAGGCGGGGGGTATCATTTAGTGAGCTCATCGCTCACAATACCTCTAGTTTCATTAAGCTAAAGCCAACTTTTCCGCCTAGTTTGTTAATCTTTAATTGTTCTTTCTTAAATATTTCCATTTTCTACTTCTTCAGTGACCCAATTTCAATCTTAGAACAACGTGAAATTACTTTCTATTCTGATCATTGTTCAATTAGTTAATTATTAATGCCAATCAAGGGAAACTGCTGGCTAATTAAAGTAAGCCCCAACATGTTATAATCTTTAATGATAATTAAGGCAATTTTTCAGTCTAATTAGAAATGAAATGAATAGTTAAATTTAATACTTTCAATTCAATTTAATGTATTCTCTCAAAACCTTGTAAACGGTACATGTGGTACAGAAACATAGACGTATAATAAAGGTGTGTCGC